CAGGGACCCGCAGAAGCCTGGCCTGGGGCGCGCGCGCGCCTCTCATGCCAGCACTCGGGAGGCTGAGGCAGGAGGATCGCCGCGATTTCGAGGCCAGCCTGACCTACATAGTGAGACCCTGTCTCAACAAAGCAAAACGGAGGTTTAGTGCCAGGGCCACGGTCATGCAGCCGGTGAGCAGAGAGCCCTGGTCCGGGCTCCCCAGGTGATGCTGACCTCTGAGCTGCCGGGCAGCGGGTAAGGAGCCACACTGAGGCAGTGCCGAGGGCCCGAACTCCTCATGCTGTGGGTTCTGGGGCCTGCAGGGTGAAGGGCTCTCGAGTCCCAGGCAGGGGTGAGGGTCACAGGGCTGGAGCCCCTGCCTTACCTGTCCCCAGGGCCGGTCTCTTCTGAGGCTGTGGGCGCCGGGCCCTCTCCATCTGCGGGAAACAGGGCAGACACTGGGCTCCCTGACTGCTCTCTGCACCCCCGAGCTGCACACCCGCTGGCTCACCTGGCCTGAGGCTGGGGCCCTCCTCGGTGGGGCTCTCGGTGGGGCTCTCGGGCCACTCCTCAGGGGAGCTGGGGGCCCCCATGAGTCCCTCCTCCGGCTCTCTGTCCTCATACTGCTCTTGCTCTTCCCCGGGGCCTCTGGGCTCCTGGAAGGGGCAGAGTCCCTGTGGGCTCTTGGTCCCACCAGTACCTATCTAGGCTTTATGAGGCTGGCATCCCGCTCCTGCCCTGCCCCAGGCCCCAAGACCCTTGGAGGTAGACGGCCCTCCCAAGGGAACCTACAGAGATCCTCCTGTCTCAGCCTCCGGAGTACTGGGATTACATGGGTCTTAGAGCTCTGTGGCTGGGGGCAGTGACCTTTCCTTCTCTGCCTCACTCACCATTTCCTCTGCACCCCTTTCGGCCTCCTCCTTTCCATCAGCCTCTGGGGGTTTGTTGTCCACAGCTGCCTTCTGAGGTCCTGCTGTGGCCTCTTGGACGGCATCGTGCCCGCCAGCCTCTGTGGGCGTGGGTTTGTCTTTGCCGTTTCCTCTGTCTTTCTCCTCAGGTTCCGCTGGGACCTCTTTCTCATGGACTGGCTTCTGTGCAGCCGGCGTGGCCTCCTGCCCTTCCCCGTCCTCCCGGGGTTCAGCTCTGGTCTCCTCCTTCCTGTCCACTGTCTCCAGAGAGGCCACTGTGGCCTCCTCCTCCTTTCTGCTGGCCTCCTTCCCGCCGGCCTCCTTCTGGGGCTCCCCCCCTTGCTTCTCCTCTAGCCGCCCAGCTTCACCCTGCGGCCCTGTGGGGACAGCATCCTCCACGTCCGTCTTCCCCGCCGGGGCTGCGGTCGCCTTAGCGGAAGCCCCTGACATCTCGGGCTCCTCTGTGGCTGGGGAGACCCTGCTCCCCTCCTCGGCCAGCTTCCCTTCCTTGGACTCCATGTCTAGAAAGAAGACCGGGGCCAGGTCAGCCCTGCCCCTGCCCCCGGGAGGATGTCGCAGAAAGCCTTGGTGCCCTGCATCCTCCCTGGCCGTGGCCGAGTTTCCCCGGCCCGGCCGAGTTTCCC